ATATTTATGTGATTATATTTATATGAGGATTGCAAGTCGAACTAATATCCAATTAGTTTGTGATTATCATTTGGCATACATAAAGACAATATTTGAAGTCCTTTAAAGAACAAGGCATAGAAAAGAACATAACATGAATTTTAACCCTATTCATGGTATGGTAATCTGATTAAGATGCTCAACTCACTTGTGGTGCAAGTTTACATTCTAATGATAAAATTATTCAATCTTTTGCTTGATATTAACCAATATTGGCATGCCTAACATAACAAATAACTCATTTAAAAGAGTCGGATGCCTCCCTAAGGTGTTCAAAGGCATTTTAGAATGGCAAGAGTTACAAATACTCGCAGGGCGAATTGTGTGAGCCAACATAGTTTTGGCACACCCGGAGATTCTTTGTGTTACATACCAAAATACACGCACTATAATTCAAACATGATAAAAAAAAGGAAAGTGTTACTGGCACTTCAAAAATCTCATTCTACATTCCTCACAAGTGTATTTTTCTTTCCTAATATAGAAAGTTTGGAATGTAGAGATTTTTGAAGTGCTAATAACAATTCCCAGAAAGAAATGTTCCTATTTTAATACCACAAGAGTCGTCAAAAGAACAAAATTTAACCAGTGCATAAGAAATTGAAAGGGTATAGGGAAAGCTACTATATCTCCTCACAGCGCGGGCCTACCATGATACTCAAGATTCCTAGACTCAAATTCCAGCGAAAGCCTTCTTGCCAGTGCCAGAAGATCCGGCAGGAGTCACCTTCAAGACGTTGAACCTCTTAGCAGTCTTGGACAGCAGCCTGAACATTGGTAGAGTACAAAAGAAAATAAACAAAATGAGCACTAGCGCATGCCAAATTACATATATAAACATGTAGTTAGAAACGAGCGGAGGTAAATCATCTGCACTGGCCGATGGTAACATGATCTCCTTCCTTCACACGGAAACATGGAGATATGTGAGCAGGGATGTTGGAATGTCTCTTTTCATATCTTAAGTAAGCGACATGAAAGAAAAAGATTTCAGAAGAGCAAAGAGGATGGTACTTGTTAATTCTCCAAAATGAGTACTACAGATACAATAGAAAGTGAAAAAAAAAAAAAAGATCGCGAACGTCATACCTCTGATATTTCTTGATATAATGTAGATAATTCCTTCGAACGATGATTGTTTTATTCATCTTAGCACTATGGCAAGTGCCAGCCAAGATGCGGCCCCTGATAGAAACATTTCCAGTGAAAGAGCATTTCTTATCAATGTAAGTCCCTGTAAGATACAATAAGCACAGGTAGCTACCGTATCAGCAAATACAACAATGCACGTACCCAATACTGAGACAAGAAATGAAGAGTACAACCATGCTCGATTTGGAGTAGAACTATGAACCGAACTTTGGAAATCCCAAAAAACATAAGCATTTCAAGTGATTGATTTGAAATTCGAGTTATTTCACGAAACAACACTCATATATCAAGATCATAATGGTACCTCAACATTCTATTAGAACTTAGAAGTCAACCCGACACAATAGTCTCTATTTGCTTAATTCTTCTAATTCAAAGGTAATCGTGTATACGCTAATAAACGGCATTGTTACATACCCTAAAGACTTCAAAAATGCAAATCAACTATAAAATGGGGGCAATGCTAATGCAACATTACTCAGACACCGTGTTTTAATCAATCCGGGTACAACTAATCAATCATACTAAAACGCTTCGAATTCATTCATTGCATAACTTGAACTACTACACATATAAAAGATAGTAAGATACATAAGTAGAAGGAAGAGAGAGAGAGGGTGGGAGGGGGGCCTTCAATGGCATCCCTGGGGGTCTTGAAACCGAGCCCAACGATCTTCCAGAACCGGTTGCCGCCCTTTCCGGGTCTCTTCCCCTTCCCAGATTTCTTCGAGCTGGTTAATAAATTCGATTACAGTAGAACAAAAAATAAAAATAAAATTATAAATAAAGCCCAAATGCAAATGCATAATTAAGCAAAACAAATTTAAAACAAACAAATCTTAATCCCAACAAGAAAATTGAAATTTATTTGATTAACCGGTTACCTGATGAACACTTTGGGCTGCTTCAGAAACGCCTTCTCAGTCTGCAACCAAAAATGTCAAAAATACCAAATAGAACGACTGCTTGAAAGATATAAACGACGACATTTTGGACACAGTAACAACTAGCAGGTATAGAAGAAAAGAACCGACCTGTTCGATTGATAGCTCGAGAGGAGTCCAGGTGTTAGCAGAGGAGGCGATTCAACGTTCCACAAAACCCTACCCCTCTCACGTTGGCGCGCTGCGCGCGTGTTTGTATTAGCATAAACTTTAAAAAAAGGCGCGAATTGAGTGAGTTCGGGCCGGGATATTTTGGGCCGACTCCCACTCTGCCAGCCTTTGTTTCAGTTTTCTATTTTTCGACAAGAGAATTACAAGTTTATTTTTGTTATAAGCATATTACTACTCTAAGTTACATTTACCAGTTACTTGTTTGCAAAAAATATATTCACTAGATCAATTTACTACTTGTGGAAGATTTTGTCAAATATTGTAGTGTCGTTTATGCATACAATTAATCGTATATTCACGACAGATGATGAGTGCGATCAAGTAGCCAGATGTAAAGTTCTTATCCATTAGCCCGTTAGGTTGGACAAAGATCCTCTCCGAATCTCACTATCCAAAGTCCAAGGACTAGACAATCCAAATCATTCAAATTAAATTTGACAGTCCTCATAAACTCATTCCATCGGCTCGGCTCACAAAAATCAAGTACTTTGATCTCTTTGGCACACAAACCAAGGGCCCATATTTGGTGGTCCTTAGCCTATGAACACTAAGGTCCAAAGCGGATCCAAATTCCATCATGTTAGTCCAAAATGGTGAGGAATGGAAATTAACAAAGCATCTATCTGCCTTATGTGGATCAAAACTCCATGGAAAACTAGAAATTAATTAGAAATTCTGTTTCATGAATTTTATGTAACACTATGATATTACATCCGACCAAAAACTATATCTCAATACTATCTCCACAACTCGAAAGAAATTTTTCCACCGTCTCGGAAAAACAAGAAGCAATCTGTGTTGAAAAAAAAAAAAAGGCATACTTAATGATTGTACTAAAAAAAAAATCGATCACTTTCTCACGACAATGAATAACGTAGCTTGAACTGTCCGATCATAACTACTCCGTCTGCATTGAAGAAAAGAGATACAAGTTATAAACATCGGAAAAATCAAAGAACGCAGATAAGGAGTTAAAGAAAGAAAAGAAAACGGATTTAGATTTTCATCTACATCGTTGTCACCTTTTGGCGTTTTGAAGTTGGTGGATCTGGTTCAGAATCACTACGCTGATGGGATGACCCAACATTGGACGTTTCAGCCTGCAAAACAGAGTCATCTTTTTGTTTCAGCCTAACATCAAGATTTACAACTTAATGTGCAGGTATGCTTTGTTTGGCCATTCACGAGAACGAGGGCACTGAATGTTGGCGTAAAATGCCATGGAAATGATAACTGGTGTAGAAAACGTACCCTGGTGGAAGAATCTTGGGCCATTCTGTGCTCAGAAGAATTTCCTGGCTCTCCGCCTGTGGCTTGAGATATGAATGGCATGATTTGGTGAAGCAAATTAGACAAAAATATTCCTTCATCGGTGGCCCTTGGCTCTGCTTCCGGTGCAGCTACACCACCACTAGATGTCCTTGCCTGATCTGGTACAGAACCTGCAATCACTCCCTCCGCACTGCCATCTTCTACATGAATTTCACCATTCGGAAAGAGGGTCCTTATAAACTGTAATATACTGCTTGGGACCTGTCTCTCAGAGTCTTGGCTGTTTGGGGTTCCGCCAGCTGATAAAATATTGATACTGAAACTTCGTGCGATAGATGACCGTCTGACATTGGGAGCTGATCCTGCAGGAAAAAGCCACTAATGAATACACTCAACCAATGACAGCAACTTAACCACCAACGTTAACTAAATTAGAAGAGATGAAAAACTCAAATCCAGTCCTTGGATGAGCTACTGCCTAACTCAATTCTTGTGCGTAAGACATTGGACGAGCTATGTGTTATTATTTGTTGAACTAATCTTTTCTTTAGATGCTACTTCACAAATTACGTAGTACAGCAAATTAAGACACACGCAGTATCTAAATTAAAAGAACAAAATATTTGAGAAACTTCTGGCACCTCCACAGAAAACAAATTGTCCTCTCTTGGCACTGCCAAAGAGTGTATTACCATCTCTTGCAGAATCTGCAGCATTTTGCTGTTCTGCTGCAGATTCAGAAGACTGCTGATCAGTATGGAGATTGGCAGGGATATTTTGGGTCGACTCCCACTTTGCCAGCCTTTGTTTCAGTTTTCCTTTTTTCGACGAGAGAATTACAAGTTTATTTTTATTACAAGCATATTACCACTCTAAGTTACATTTACCAGTTACTTGTTTGCAAAAAATATATTCACTAGATCAATTTACTACTTGTGGGAGATTTTGTCAAATATTGTAGTGCTGTTTATGCATATAATTAATCGTATGTTCACGACAGATGATGAGTGCGACCAAGTAGCCAGGTGTAAAGTTCTTATCCGTTAGCCCGTTAGGTTGGACAAAGATCCTCTCTGAATCTCACTATCCAAAGTCCAAGGACCAGACAATCCAAACCATTCAAATTAAATTTGACAGTTCTCATAAACTCATTCCATCGGCTCGGCTCACAAAAATCAAGTACTTTGATCTCTCTGGCACACAAACCAAGGACCCATATTTGGTGGTCCTTGGCCTACGAACACTAAGGTCCAAAGAGGATCCAAATTCCGTCAGGTTAGTCCAAAATGGTGAGGAATGGAAATTAACAAAGCATCTATCTGCCTTCTGTGGTTCAAAACTCCATGGAAAACTAGGCATTAATTAGCAAAGACGAAATTCTGTTTCATGAATTTTATGTAACACTACGATATTACATCCGACCAACAACTATCTCAACATTATCTCCACAACTCAGAAAGAAATTTTTCCACCGTCGGAAATAACCTGGGAATAAAAGTAAACCAAACGACGGAAATAACCTGGGAATAAATACTCAAAGGTACCTCTTCGTATTTGTATATCAATACGCCTTGGAAGAAAACCAGTACCAAGTCCACTACCAAGACCAGAACCAGGCTGCACAGCTCCCATGGGGTTGGCACCAAAGTTCGTTCCAGATTGGAAAGGAAGAGGCTAACCAAATATGATTCAATTCAGTCAGTACAATAGAACTATTTTCAACAAGGTGTTAATTAAGTGTTTAGAAAGTTACAGTACCTGAACCATAATGGGATTAGGGCCAGTAGGGGATATGAAAACAGCAGGTTCAGCATTAACCACCGCGTCAGACTGCATAAGATGACCCAGAGAAAAGTTTAGAAGTCAGCTGAGATCTAAATGGACAAAATGACATGACAAGGACAATTCCAGGAAACACTACCGGTGCTTGACCCATTTGCAATGTCATGGTTGTACGACCAAGTTCAAGTAAAAAGGCACCTAGGTTATGAAATAAAGCTCCATTTCTCGATGCACTAGCTTGGGTGCTCAACCGTGCTGCCGGATCAGTCACATTCCCTTGATTATCCAGTTGACTTGCAAATTGCTGCCAAGATGTAACATGAAAATCGCAAGGTACCTTTTGTTTAACATGATAAATCAAACAGCCGAAAGCTTGTAGCTAATATAGAATTACAGTAACTAGATTGTTCTACTTTAAACAATAAATTGCTCATTTGTGACAACTAATGGAAAATCAAGCTACCAGCACTAGTTGTCAACTTGGAACACCAATATATATACTTGCAATAATGTAGCGAAAATTTACAATGACACATAAGAACGCACAAGTAAGGATTCTCCAACTTGTTCAGCCAGTAATTGCCAAGTAGAACGCATGACTTCTGCCAATGATGCAGGAGTGGGGAGCCCCTCTTGCCTTATCCCTGAACGTGAGGAGGAATTGGAGCTTTCTTCCGTCCTATGAGTAGCAGCTGCTTGATTGCTTCTCGCATCTATGCCTGTTGTTAAATGAGCTGACACTTAAAAATATTTCAGCAAACTAGCACCATTTGTGAAACAACTTTATATAATAAAAATTCCTGCACATAGAAAACTCACCAATGGCCTCAAATTCACACCTCATATGACTCAGATATTGGGTTAAAGTGGTCAAAGAATTAGGAATTACCTGCAAAGACCACCGATAAAGCAGAATATTTATACTATTGCTTCAAGGAGATTCATTAAGTTAAGTTCAAACTACACAAGAAGATTAAAACTTAATCAAACAAATTGGAAACTTTTAACTTGCCAGAGGTGGCTGAGGCCCCAAAGGAAATGATGTTGAATGAATAAATGTCCCATTTGATCTGTCAGATGGACCCCTTGTGGCAGCTTGTTCAGATTGAAATTGGGAGAAATCAAACATACCCCCCAAACCCGATGTCCTTTCTGGCCTCTGTGACCCATGTTCCTTCAGCATATCAACCATCCCCGTAACAGATTAAATATGTAAGCACAAAGTGCACATGAATTTAAAATAGCAAATGATATACATATGCACACACACACGCAATATCCATTAAAGTGAGATTAGCTTCAGAAATTTTCAATTTTAAATTTACCCTGACTTCGATCCCTTCACTGTCACCTGCAATATTTGGCATTCCTATAGAGCCAAGAACAGCAGAGATTATCTTCTCAGACACAGAGATAAGGTGGAAATCATTACCATGAAAATTATTTAAACCAAATAGGAATACAAATTATTTAGTTAAAGACTCACCCGATTGACTTCAGGTGCAAACCCATCCCCTTGAAGAGGCATGCTGAAAGTTTCAACGACAACACCAGGGCCAACATGACGGCTTGTACTTGAAGCCGGATCAGTTCCTACACTGAGAGTTGGCAGTATGAAAACAAGGTCAATGACGTTAACAGTTGAATCAAAGATCTAGGAGAGAAATGAGGTTTGCCACTAATGGTAACCAATCTTACGAAACAACCCAGGAACCCAAACTATCAGATAGTTTGCCATCAATGTGTCCATAACTTAAAACATGTTAACAGATGTAGAATTGTAGAATACTACATAGTATTAAGATCAACCTGGATGATCTGGTGATCCTTCAGCTGATGGTGGAGTAGGTTGTCTCACAACCAAATGTAAGGTATGGCCATCTTCAACATCTAAACTGTGTTAAGGAAATATCAAATCCGTAAAATGAAAAGCTGGTGAGTATAATGGAAATGGCCGATGAAACACAGGGCTGGTTTGGTATTGATGTGCTTTGAAAAAAAGCTACTTCTGCTGTGCTGTGAAAATAAGCAGCTGTGAAATAAAGGAGCAGAGTGTTTGGTAAACTTTTTTGTAAAAGTGCTTTTGAAAAAAAAAAAACAGTATTATAGTGTTTGGGTAAACTTTTATGTAAAACAGATGTGAAAAAAAACCATTTTTCAAAGCTGGGTTTTGCAGCTTCTTGTTTTTGGCTTTTTTTTCACCCAAAACTGTGAAAAAAGCTGAAGCGAATGTTTACCAACATAAAAACAGCTTCCAGCTTTTTTTGATACCAGCTTTTTTCAGAATCACCTCAGTACCAAACCAGGCCATAGAATCCTAAGTAACATAGAGGTGCCACAAGGTTTTCAAAATTAAAAAATTCTTCCACAATTCAAAAGACAAAAAGAATAGGATACGATAGGCGGAGAGAAGATGATCATCCTTTAGAACTTTTCCTCGGCATATCAGTCGTTGTTGTTCTGATAGCACACCGGTGACAGAAGCAATCTGTTCTTTCAAAGCAGGAACTGGCATCTGCAGTTCAGAAGACACAATTTGGTAAATTCAAACCTGTTTGGAAAACTTTTACAAAAAAGACTTTCTACTAGAATGTCCTCACATGCAATATCCCTTCACAAATAAGCTTCAGTACTAACGTTTAGAGTTTTCACACATATAAGCACTTTTAACTTAAGGAAACTATCTCAAGCTGTAAGAACATATTATATGGGTACACTAAAAATGCACAAACATTATGGTGGTCAAGATTGTACACAAGGATATAACTGCTGCCCAAAAGCAGGAAATATAATGAAAAGTCACAAGAGATGCAACCTGTTTATCCACCTGAGAGTATAAGTTTGTGAATCCAATGTTTTAATTTTAATCTCAATAGTGGCTTCAGACCCTTCAACCTGCTCATCCATGGGAATATGTTCAGTACCATTACTACCCATTCTCCTCAGACCGCAATGAACCTGCAAAAGAGAAAGAGTATAAATTATGAAACAGCTTTCTTTCTCCATTATTAGAGGTTGGGATGGGGAAACTTGAGCATTCAATCGACTACTACTTTATATAATGACATTGATAATCGAAAAACATGAAAAACAAAATGAGGAAAAGGAAAAACCATTAATGTTACAAGGCAGGCCCGTCTCTACTTAACCATAACACACAATTGTAGTAAAAACATGGGTAGCAATTCTTGGTTAATTCCCAAACCACCACAAGTATTTCAAACGAAAAACTCGAATGTCCAGTCCAACATATATACAATATGTTTGATTTTCCATAACCTAAGCCAACTTCAAAACATGATTTTGTGTAAATACAAACCATTTCTCCCTATTCTTAGTTAACAACATTGCACTAAATAGTCTGCACACATGCAATGCTTAGCATAAACATTAGTATAAGGGCATTCATTACAGTAGAAACGCCCAATCGCATCAAGAAAATTTATGACCAAAATCTACTCATCACCACAAGAAAACATCGTAACGGTAACTATAAGAAAAGCAACAGCACTCATATCACAATTTCCTATTCTCCCTTTTCTTTTCATTGGCAGCGTCCATGACCCTTTTGACTTTGATCCACTCTCACTAGCCAGCACACATAAAACTTTGTTCGATTTTTGCAGGCCGAAACAAGATTTGGTTTTGTTTGAATTTAACAACTTCGAATGAACAACTCAATTCCCATTCTGAGCAAACCCTATTTTTATGGGATCGCTTTAGTTTGGAGAAAGTACAAGATAACCTTGTAAAACATCACGCCTCTCATCGGTGCAAATTGCTAATGGTTCTCGTTATCTCCGTTAGCCAAATAAGTGTGATCTTGATCCAGCTGCTTAGGAACTGTTTGGATATAAGAAGGGCCATCGGATTGTGTTTAAGGAAACTGAGGGGTTCAGATTAGAAGTAGATCAAGAGAAATAAAACTAACCAAGAAAATGATGGTGTGTTCGATTCAATTCCCTATAATCCCATCCGTTCAATTATGTTCAACGGCTCAGATTTCCTAACTTTTGTCCCTGATCAATTGAGCGGCTGCGATCTTCGTGGATTTATTTTTTCGAGAGACAGAGTCTTGATCAACATGGCAAACCACCATCTATACTATATTTTCTTCTATTCCTATTAAATTCCAAATTACTCTCTCTCATCTCATCTGTTCAAGAGCAACGATGGATACCAAAGAGGAGAGAAGCTTCATTGATAAGGTAATAATTAAGTGGTACGAAGATCCAGAAGTCCTCCAGATGGTGAAGAAGAGGTTAGTTTGGCCGTCCGTTGAAGGAAAATGAAGCCGGATTTTCTAATATGCTCGGTGCAAAGTTTTCGGTGTGCGAGATACACTAGATCATACTAGAATTTTCAAAAACAAGGATATACAAAACATCCTCATATCCAATTCAAATTTATTTAAAAAATAAAACAATTTGATCGAGTTCTAAGTCTTTGCTTTTTTGTTTGGGCCTAGGGTTTCAACAGCGACGGCGATGATGGAGATCGACAGCTTGAAGGACGTCACTGCTGGTCAGAAGAAAGTCAAGTGGTTCGAGAATCCAGAGATCCTCCAAATACTGAAGACGATGTTTGATCCTTGGCTGAACGAAGATGGCATGCCTGACGCCACCTCTTTCTTAAGCCGTTGCCCTAGAGGCTTTGGTAACAATTTTCTCTTCTTATTAATATATACTACAACAACAACCAAGTCTTATCACAATAAGAGCCGTTCCATTTTGCGGCATGTCTTCCGGTAAATTCTTGTTAAATAGAGTCGGTTGTATAGATCTTAAAACGCTAGTGCGTTCGGTTTTACGTCATATATTTCATTAATTTCTTGTTTGTAACTTAATATATAATATACTATCCTCACTATTATGAGACTTTGGCAGAAGAGAAGTTGCTGCGGCTCTACTATCGAGATGATCCAGACATCCGCCATATGACGGACAAGAGGTGGGGCCCTCAACTGGACGAAGATGGCAAGCCTGAAGGCCCCTCTCTACGCAGGATCTATCCAAAATGCTTTGGTAACTAATTATATCAGACTTAATTTTGTTTAGTTTCCATTACAATAACTTATTCCTTTTTTTTTTTTTTTTTTTCCAATTGTTAATTAATTATGAATATTTCTTTTCAGAAAAAGATTTGCTTGAAGCTTGGCCGACGTTGACATCTACTTTAGAAGAATACGGCATTTTATGCGTAATTGATCTGGTATATATATATTTATGAGAGAAATGTTGAGTTTGTAAATTTTTATTAGATGACCAATGTTTGGAAAAGTTTTTCAATATACTGGAAAGATGAACCCGTTACATCAAATGACATTGTCATAATACAACTAATTGAATATTTTTTTCAAACTTCTAATCAATTGTATTATTGTATTAGTACACTTTGTTACCTAACTCTATTCCGAGCACACTCTCTTATGTGTAATTGACATATTAAATTAGTTTATGTTCAATATTTGACAGGTTTTTTGTAACCTGGTATTCAGAACAACCAAGAAAACAGACCCAGATATTATTCCCAAGGCCAGGGATCTTGTTGACCTTTTATCAAAGAGTATTCCTGTACCTCTGGTAATATATATTATATATATTTTGATTTTTTTTTACTTGAAAACTTAATATAATTATTGTTTCATGCAACTCCTTATTTTATTTTATTTTTTATCTATATCTCCTATAAAAAATTTAAATTTCAGCACACAATATTTTGATTTCAGGCAATGAAAGTCCTGGGTGAAATTCAGTATGAAATGATCAGGATTGGGCATATAAGTGGTGGTCTTTGCATAAACTTTGGGATCACGCGGGTGGGTATTGCTTATCTCTCTCTCCTTCCATTTTTAATTTTTAGAGCAAGTAAATTGTTATTGGACGGAATCTACTGACAAAGGGTTAATTAACAAATTCAAATAAGTTTAAGTCCTAAATTTTTCAAAAAAAAAAAAAAAAAAAAATCATGGGGGTGGTAGGGGTTGTCATTCTCAACTAGGGTGTTAGTTTAGGGGGTCAAACATCCGTTTACCTTTTTGGGAGCTTAGTGTTTGTTATTCATGGAAAGTTATGAATAACTTTTACCTTATGGTTGGATGAGGGCTTTAAAGTTTTATGGAGTTTACGTTAGATGTATTACGGATGCACCACACAAGTTGAATAGAGACTTAAAAATGACCAGATGCAATACATTGGAGAGAATTTTAAACGATTATGTTATCCCCAAAGTCCTTTGCTTAGTGTCGTATGTGCATTTCTACTGTTTAAATTGTAGCATTTTATTGTTCGAGTAGTTCATAGTAATGTTTGTGTAGTGCATTTATAATTACCGTTGAGTCTTATTGGTATTTTGAAAGTCCCACATATTCTAAATATAGGGTTATTTTTTATTCATGAATGTCTCACACTTTCGGTAATTTTTTGTCATTAATCTTCTTCAATTCATTAGATACAACAGTGAAGAATTAAAAAAAAAAGTGTGAAGGGTAAAAATAAATGGGAAGATGATAATAACGTTGATGAAATTCATGTTTCTGAAAATTGGTTAGTTGGGGTTATTGAAACAAAGATGTAACGGTGAAATTGTGTGCGTGCAGGACCAATATGTCGAACGACGGAAGCTTCTCATGGGTCCCTCAGGCTTAGAGGTGCATAAATTATTTTTAATCACGTTTTACTCATCTTTTGTTTGGGAAACTAAATTATGGAACAAAAGGATAAACTCTAATGAAAATTTGTGAGTACAGAAACTTAAACCTCGTTTGGAAGTGCTTTTAAAATAGCTGTAAATGTTCCTAGTGAAAAGTTTTTGTGAAAAAATCTTTAGTAAAAATGCAAGTAAAAGTGCCTTTAGAAGACAAAAATATTTTCTCTAAAAGTGCTTTTAATCGATTTTAAACACTTCCAAACAAGTTCAGAATTGTTCATGTTTGTTGTATATATCTCTAAACTTTCCTAATACAATTGTAGGCAATTGCAGCACAGCTAGACTGCCATATTTTTTTCCGCGTAAGTGTTACTATTCCCCCTTGGTGATTAAATGGTTTATCAATTGTACGTTTGTTTGTTAGGTTTTTCACCTCCATGTGAGCAAACAGAGATTTTTCAATGCGCTTGGAACACGATTTGTTATAAAAGTGTCGTATACAAGTAGTTGGATATTTGGAAAAAATTCTAACCACTTGTGTTAATGACACTTTATACACGAGCCTTATTTCCGAAGCACTAAAAAATTCTCGTAAGTGGGGAATGATGAAATTAATAAATTTTATTTTTGCTCGTAAATGGACAGGAAGATTATATCATTGCTTTAGGTCCATTGCGTTGGTTGAAATTAGTAAAGAAAATTGCGGGAGACTGCATTCTTCACAAAGTGCGTCCGACTTGCATTATCAACAAGATGAAACGGGACGCTCGAGTGATGCAGAGTTTTAAGCATTTGCATTTATGAAGGATTTCATATATCATTGGGGAACCCTAATACCAATTCACATGAAGAATATTAGGGTTCCAAACTTAAGCATTTGTGTTTATGTTTTTAGCTTTGCTACATTGTTAGTTGTATCGATTTCCTTTAAGAAAACTTCATTCCAGAGCACTTCAGCCACAGTAAAAAAACTTATCCGACCGTTGAGAGAGTTTGCCTGAATAAGTCCAAACTTTCCCGATCTCTTATATTTTGTATTTATGTTGTTGTGGGATATTTGATAAGTATTTAACGTCATTTCATTTTTGTTATTTCATTTTCATATAGCCTGCCATATATTTATGTGATTATATTTATATGAGGATTGCAAACTGAGGCGAACTAATATCCAATTAGTTTGTGATTATCATTTGGCATACATAAAGACAATATTTGAAGTCCTTTAAAGAACAATGCATAGAAAAGAACGTAACATGAATTTTAACCCTATTCATGGTATAGTAATCTGATTAAAACACTCAACTCACTTGTGGTGCAAGTTTACATTCTAATGATAAAATTATTCAATATTTTGCTTGGTATTAACCAATATTGGCACGCCTAAAGTAACAAATAACTCATTTAAAAGAGTCGGATGCCTCCCTAAGGTGTTCAAAGGCATTTTAAAATGGCAAGAGTTACAAATACTCGTAGGGCGAATTGTGTGAGCCAACATAATTTTGGCACACCCGGAGATTCTTTGTGTTACATACCAAAATACACGCACTATAATTCAAACATGATAAAAAAAATGTTCCTATTTCAATACCACGAGAGTCGTCAAAAGAACAAAATTTAACCAGTGCATAAGAAATTGAAAGGGTACACGGAAAGCTACTATGTCTCCTCAATGCCTACAGTGCCGGCCTACCATGAAACTCAAGAATTCCTAAATTCAAATTCCAGCGAAAGCCTTCTTGCCAGTGCCGGAAGATCCAGCAGGAGTCACCTTCAAGACGTTGAACCTCTTAGTCTTGGACAGTGGCCTGAACATTGGTAAAGTACCCAAAAAAAATGAACAAATTGAGCGCTAGCGCATGCCAAATTACATACATAAACATGTAGTTAAAAACGAGCTAAGGTAAATCAACTGCACTGGCCGATGTTAACATGATCTCCTTCCTTCACATGGAAGCATGGAGATACATGTGCCGGGATGTTGGAATGTCTCTTTTCGTATCTTAAGTAAGCGACAAGAAAGAAAAAGATTTCAGAAGAGCAAAGAGGATGGTACTTGTTAGTTCTCCAAAATGACAACAGATACAATAGAAAATGAAAAAAAAAAAATTGAATGCGAACGTT